TTTGAGAGGGAAAAATAATATGGCATAGCACTCTGTTGACTGTTCAGCTTTAGATGACTACTTTGTTCTAGAGAGGGTGAGATACGTATTAATAAGGGAGCACACTCTTCTCTGTGGTCTGCTGTTTGTGTATGTGACAAGATTGGCCATTTATTGTTCCCATAGAGTTGTCTACTGTTTGTGTTTTGTATTGGTGAAGGAATTAAACGTTACTTCAAATGTTACTCTAGTGCACTCTGCTAGAATAGGCAGTTAAGTGCTCAGCAGGCACTTAGAATCAAAGCACTTAGAATTCAAAGCATATAGGACCCTGTGTGTTGGTAATGTGTCTTCAGGGGAAACGTATTTCAAAGAACTATAACAGTTTGATTTTTTAAAAATTTATTTTTAACTACGCCTGTTTTCCTGTCACTGCATTTGTGGTGTAACATTCTGTGTGCGGCAGGTGCCTCACGTGCTGACTGCATTCGTAGCTTTCAGAAATCTGTCCATGTCCATGCTACTGAGAATCAGGTGTCCTTTGTTAGTCTGGTATTTAGAAGGTTTGTTCCGTACGTGATGAGAAGATATGCCTGTGTTTTAATTGTAGACAGCTGATCTACAACTACCCTGAACAGCTCTTTGGAGCTGCTGGTGTCATGGCTATTGAGCACGCAGACTTCGCTGGTGTAGAACGTCTGGCTCTTGTTACGGGTATGTAGAGTTCCCTATATGAAACTTGGAGGGTCACGTTATTTGTTTGATCTTTAGTGAATGCTAATGCTTGATCACCTAGTTTGTACTTTTTACTGCTAAGCAGATCTGTAAATGTGAAAAGTACTTCAAATAAGCTTTATTTGTAGTACCTGAGTACAAATGTATATGGAGGACCCTATGAAATTAGCCATAAAAAACTTTGAAATTATATAGCAGTTGATAAATCATAACGCTATGAAATTAGCCATAAAAAACTTTGTTGATTTATCAACTGCTATATAATTTCAAAGTAACTATCAGTATTTTTTCAAAAGCAGATAACTCATTTTCTGTCTTTGGCATGTTATACTTCACATGTGAAACGTCTGGTTTGATTCTTAATCCTCCCTGCATAATGATTTATTTTTTTTTATCTAGCAACTGTGAATAAAGGATCATAATGCTAACTGTGGAATATTAGTTAGCCAGTTAGTAATTTTCTTTCATATTTAAAAAATAAGTCCCTGCTTGATAAACTTTTGAAATGTTTGTTTTCTAGAGAAAAGATGAAACTTAGTGATAGGAAGAATAAGATGATAAATCCAAAAGTTAATTAATACCATCTTGTTATAAGTGGCTGGTTTTTGACAGTAATAACAGAGAAGGCTGAGAAGTTGTCCTTAGTTAAAAATGTGGGCCTGAGTCATCAACTTGGAGTGAGACTTGAACAACCTGGATATTTTTAGTAGTGGTTAGTGTAGATGTGACTTTAGTAACTAATGAAAATGAAACATCTGGAATGCTGCAGATGATTCACATTGCTGAAGTTAGAGATAGTTAACTGAAACATTATTAAAAATGGATTATGAAAGTGATTGAGGGAATGGATAACTTGCTTTGCTGGGAAAAGGGAAAAGATACTCTTTTGTTTAGCTTAGCAAAACTGAAGTAGCAGTTGTGTATAACTGTCTGCAGACACGTTGACACAGGCAAATGCTTGATTAAGAGAACTGTTGCTTGTGTTCTGGAACAAATTCAAAGCAAATTTTGTAGGCAGAGCAAGGGAACCATATCAGACCACACTGGATCAAATAGTATGCATAGCTGGAAGAAATAGACAAGCTTTTAGTAAGCACTAAAAACCTCTACTACAAATCTTGTCTTTCCTTGTACTGCTACAGCTACAGCAATGCTGCAAGCTTACGTGGGATAACCGAGCATACGTTGGGATTGAATGCATGTAAATGGCTTTCTAATGCAAAGAGCAAAGTACTAGAACAATATTCTGTTCAGAGGCGTTTTGTCTGGTTTGTTTACGAATGGTGCACTACATTGCTGCTGCAACATGGCACAAGACTCCTGATTCCAGAGAGCGGTGGCCAGTCGTTCTCAGCCATCATCAGGCAGGCAAAATGAATGCTGCTGCAAGCTCAAGTTTAAAAACATAACAGACTTGATTTAGTATTTTATAAATACTTTATCAGTAAGTGCTACTGAAACTGTAAACAAATCAACATTTTAATACTGGTAAATAGCCACATTTAGTCTCTAATCCAGACAGAACTCAAAAGCATTACAGATACTGTAGTCCTAGTGATGTGAAAAGAAAATATTGGTGTTGTAAGGACTTGTCAACATCAATAGAAGGTTTCTGGTGCCATATGCTGACATTGGAAAAATTTGTCTTATCAGTATTGCAGATTTCAATTTATTTTTGGCAATTATGAAGACGATTGTTTGTTTCTTTTTTTTTCCCCCCTCTCCCTTGTTTAGAGCTTGCCTGAATGGATGCTGTCATTGTGAGCTCTTTGACTTTCGTGTGATTTTACATTTGTAGGCGGTGAAATTGCATCAACCTTTGATCACCCTGAGCTAGTAAAACTAGGAAGCTGTAAGCTTATTGAAGAAGTCATGATTGGGGAAGATAAACTCATTCATTTCTCTGGAGTGGCAATGGGTAAGTGTTTTACCACTAGTGGCGGGTTGTAACATTGGTTTTAACCTTCTCCTAACGCTGTATGGTTACCAGGATGGCATAGGAATTTTGTAATGATTCATGTAACCAGTTTTATTAAAGCCTTGCACTTCAATAAAAGTCCTCTAAAGATACATATTCATGGTTGAAATTGTCAATCTACGTGTAACATACGCAAAACATTTGTAAAGATGGGAACCAAAATTTCTACTTTGAGAGATGAAATTGACGAGAAAAGTAGCAACCTGTCATCCTTCAAGAACCTGAGAGTTTGTTCTGTAAATGCCAGTGCTGTAAGTTTCTGGATTGTTTTGCGATAGCGTTCATTTTTGATTAAATTAAATACTGCGTTGTTAAGCAGTTCATTGATAAAAGCAATAGCATAGTGTACATCATTTGATTCTACCTGTGAAATGTCATCATGCTTGCTTTTTGCTGCAAAATTGATCTGTGTAAAATTTGACTACAGTAATAGCAAAACCGTTTCAATACTTCGTGATAGCCTCTTTTTGTGTCTTTGGTTTGGTTTTTTATTCTTCTCGCATTTGCACTTTTTAGGTGAAGCTTGCACCATAGTTTTGCGTGGAGCAACACAGCAGATTCTAGATGAAGCAGAGAGGTCTCTGCACGATGCTCTCTGTGTTCTTGCGCAGACCGTGAAGGACACTAGAACTGTGTATGGTGGAGGTGAGTATTGGATTCTTTGTACATTGTACATGATACACATTTTGTATTACTGTCGAACTCGGATATAAAACATCTGTGTGTCTTCAATGAATAGGTTGTTCAGAGATGCTGATGGCTAACGCTGTTGCAGAACTTGCCATCAGAACACCTGGCAAAGAGTCTGTTGCAATGGAGTCCTTTGCTAAGGCTTTACGAATGGTGAGTTTGTTTAATCAGATTGCTGGATTAATAGGTGTAAAGTTTCACTAAGTTTACTAACTTCTGACATCAGATAGTTGCTTTTCTTTCAAAGTTTTGGTTTTCTGAAAGTAAAAAAGTGAAATTTAGCCACATATCTTGGATGAAAAAAGGGGAAGAAATTACTGTTTTCTCTGAGGAAAAAAAAGTATTGGTGTTTTAATAATTCTGCATGTTATAGAATGCTGAATGTTCATATGTTAGCCCTCTTCTAATTAGTTCTTGCTCCTCTTACCTGCAAGGTTAAAAGTGCAGCAGAAATAGCACATAAAAATTTCACAGAATCACAGAATGTTAGGGATTGGAAGGGACCCCAAAGGATCATCTAGTCCAATTCCCCTGCTGGAGCAGGACCACCTAGATCAGATCACACAAGAACGTGTCCAGGCAGGTTTTGAACATGTCCAGAGAAGGAGACTCCACAACCTCTCTAGGCAGCCTGTTCCAGTGTTCTGTTACCCTTACTGGGAAGAAGTTCTTCCTCATGTTTAAGCGGAACCTCCTATGTTCCAGCTTATATCCATTTCCCCTTGTCCTATCATTAGATGCCAGTGAGAAGAGCCTGGCTCCATCCTCATGACAGTCACCCTTTACATATTTATAAACATTGATGAGGTCCCCCCTCAGTCTTCTTCTCTCCAAGCTAAAGAGACCCAGCTCCCTCAGCCTTTCTTCATAAGGGAGATGCTCCACTCCCTTAATCATCTTTGTGGCCCTGCACTGGACTCTCTCAAGCAGTTCCTTGTCCTTCTTGAACTGAGGGGCCCAGAACTGGACATTCCAGAACTGACCGCATTCCAGATGCGGCCTCACCAGGGCAGAGTAGAGGGGGAAATTGTCTCATTTCATTTGACAACGGATTTAGAAAAGAGCAACCCTTCTATTCTGTCAACACTCTAATGCTATTTGATTGTATTCGCACTGTAGTATTATCTAGAAGTTTCTAGACTTGCACTGGAGATTGCATCTTAGTGGAAAATAAAGAATATCACAAGACATGTTTTAGAATATTATTGTCCTAACAGATTGTCAATTTGAGAAAAATTGCCTTCCTGTATATTAGGGAAAGCTTTTCTTAAGAAATGGAGGACCATAGGAAAACATTTCTCACAAGAAAATTAAATTAAAGAGCATGGTAAGACTTGGCATTACCTCTTCAGAAATAGTCCTTGTATCAGAAATAGTGTGGCCAGCAAGACTAGGGGAGTGATTGGCCCCTGCACTTGGTGCTGGTGAGGCCACAACTTAAATACTGTGTTTGGTTTTGGGCCCCTCACTGCAAGAAAGACATTGAGGTGCTGGAGCGTGTCCAAAGAAGGGCAAGGAAGGTGGTGAAGGGTCTAGAGCACAAGTCTTATGAGAAGAGACTGAGGGAACTGGAGTTATTTAGTCTGGAGAAAAGGAGGGTGAGGGGGGACCTTATTGCTCTCTACAGCTCTCTGAAAGGAGGTTGTATTGAGGCAGGTGTCAGTCTTTTCTCATGAGCAGCAAGTGCTAGGACAAGAGGAAACAGCCTAGGTTTTCCCAGGGGAGGTTTAGATTGGGTATTAGGAAAAATTTTTTCACCGAAAGAGTCACCAGGTGCTGGTTGAGTCACCCATCCCTAGAGGTTTGTAAAAGACACGCAGATGTGGTGCTTAGGGACATAGTTTAGTGGTGGACTTGCCAGTGTTAGGTTAATGGTTGGACTTGATGATCTTAAAGGTCTTTTCCACCCTAATTCTGTGATTCAGTCAGCACATGCAATTTGCACTGCTGTCACTTAAACAGAGAACAGAATCATCTGGTGTTTAATGCTCACCCATAAGCTTGTGTTCTTAAAAATGAAACCATTTATCCAGTTGTAGTCTGAAATGTTAACAAAGAGACAGATTTCCTTCTGTCCATGTGAAGTGAAATGACACATCTCCTAATGAGCTTCTGTCCTCTCATCTACTGTCGTAACAAGGCTTTAAGAAAAAAAGCTTTGAAAGGTAGTTCGATTTTTGCTCCCTGCCCTCAAACTTCTGATCACTGTAACGGATCATCTGCTATGTTTTTGAACCTTTCTCTTCTTGAACCTTATTAGTAAATTAGTAATACCAAAGTGTGTTTCATGCTTACTAGGGATCAATCCCTGTGTTAATTAAAAACAACCTGTGTTTATCCCCATAGATCCCAACAATAATAGCTGATAATGCTGGCTATGACAGTGCAGATTTGGTTGCTCAGCTCAGAGCTGCTCACAGTGAAGGGAAGACTACTTACGGGCTTGGTAAGGGGCTTGATATTACCTCTGTTACTGGATTGGTGTTTGGGAAGGGGCTTAGGCTCACTGAACTTGGTTGCATCTGTTTCTCACTGATATATTCAGCTGGAAGAACTGAATACATCCATATCTGTTTGCTTTGCTAGAACATAGGATACAATGTTACATTCTTTTGTCATTCTACCAGGTGTTTCACAATTAGAGTGAAATGTTTGGTTTTGAAGGGCATTGTTTCCATCTGTAAAACCACTTTCCTTACTTATATTGAATATGGTTACATGAAGCTCAAAATGAAAGGCACTGATTTAAAAAGAAACAAATTAAGAACCCACCCAACCCAACCCCTCCCCCCAACAACCCCCCAACTTAAAAAAAAAAAAAAAAGGCAAGCTTTTGAGAATTCCCAAGTTGACATACCTAAGGAAATAGTGCTGAGAGTCCCGCTGGAATGTTGTCTCCTTTTCCCAGTGTATAAATTTTTCATCATTAATTTTTCTCGTGTAAATGAAACATGTTAGGCTTAAATCAGGAGCCTTGAAGTGACAGACTTTATTTAATACTTCCCTTACCATCAGTATGGTTCATTTGAGCAGGTAAGTTGCCATACTGTCAGCTTCTTGTAATTTCCTCTAAAAAAAAAAGAAAAGTTAAAAAAACCCCACCCCAAACAAACTTACTGTTTCTCTTCTAGATATGAAAGAGGGTATCATTGGAGACATGGCAGTTTTGGGAGTAACAGAAAGTTTCCAAGTCAAGAGACAAGTTTTGCTGAGTGCAGCTGAAGCAGCAGAAATGATTCTTCGTGTAGATGACATTATTAAAGCAGCACCAAGGTACGATTTGAGTGTCCACATTAGTCAGTTACAGTGGCGTAGAGTAATCTTCTGTGAAACAGTAATTGTGTAGAAAAGTCTTGTTCTAAAAAATACTTTATTTGTCATGAAGACTGATATCTGACATGCTGATGTTCCTGTTCCAAGATTCTTTTTGCGTTAGGAGTATGAACGGGCCTTTAGAGCCATCAGTGCGCTTAAATGAGCGTGCCTGAGCAATGCCTAGTTAGTCTTAGGTCACCTGCTACTCACGTGCCATATACAGTACTAAAGCATCTGCAAGTGTGGCTGAACAAAATGTAAGGGAATGTGCTGCTTTTTTTTGGGGGGGGGAAAATTGTAGTTAAATGCACTGCTGCTTCTGAAGTGGAATTGGCAGCTAAAACAAAAACGCTTGTTGGAAAGTTTGGGAAGAAATTCTGCTTGTAGGCAGGTTTATCCCATGCGTGCTTGCTACCAGGTAGTTTGTGCTATTTTGTGATTCAGAGGTTTTCATTGTGGTCAAAGGTGGTGTGTTAGTGTTGAAATGATGCTACCTTCTGTGCTGTGAGATAAAGCACAAAATACCAACTAAAAATGAAAAGTAAGGGTGGGTGGGGAGGCTGGGGGACATCAGCATCGGGGGGGGCTTTCCTGATTATATTTTTTCTTTTTTTTCCACCAGAAAACGTGTCCCAGATCATCGCCCCTGTTAAATTTTCTACAGTACCTGAGGATGTGTGGACCAGATCTCACCTAGTAATTTTTTTTTAATGATCTAATTTTTGTGAGGTTATGGAACAGAAGCTTGAGACGAGCATCTCCATCAATGGCATGAAGTAACTGTCTTCAGTTAGTTCTAACTTATTTCAGTTTGTACGTGTTGTGAGGAAGAAGAGGTTTTATACAACCCTATTCCTTCTGTTCCTCTCCAGGTTCCACTTCAAAATACACAGAAATAAATAAATTCAAATCCATCGAGGTTGTATTGGTCTCTGTGTAGAACCAAGAAGGGCAGTTTCATTAAAAAAGCAGCAGAGCACATCCTCAGTCCTTGGACGCTTCAAGCAGCGACCAGGCAGCCAGTGCTGAGGATATCCTCTCAAGCCCTCGTAGCTTGCTGGTTTGGATTGAGGTGGTGTGTTTATTGTGAGCGGTTTATTCCAATCCTGGCTGTGTAGGTTTTGAGTTGGGATCCTACAAATAGGCTCTGAAGTTAAATGTTACCCTTTTCTAGTGAAACTGGAGTATTAAGGCCAAGTGCAAGGTCCTGCACGTTGGTTGGGGCAATCCCAAGCACAAGTACAGGCTGGGCGGAGAATGGATTGAGAGCAGCCCTGAGGAAAAGGACTTGGGAGTGCTGGTGGGTGAGAAGCTCAACATGAGCCGGCAATGTGTGCTGGCAGCCCAGAAAGCAAATCGTATCCTGGGCTATATCAAAAGGAAGTGTGGCCAGCAGGTTGAGGGAAGTGATTTCTGCCCCTCTACTCAGCTCTCGTGAGACCCCACCTGGAATACAGTGTTCAGCTCTGGAGTCCCCAGCACAAGAAGGACATGGAGCTGCTGGAACGAGTCCAGAGGAGGGCCACGAAGATGATCCGAGGGCTGGAGCACCTCTGCTATGAAGACAGGCTGAGAGAGTTGGGGCTGTTCAGCCTGGAGAAGAGAAGGCTCCGGGGTGATCTTATAGCAGCTTTCCAGTACCTAAAGGGGGCCTACAGGAAAGCTGGAGAGGGACTTTTTCCAAGGGCGTGTAGTGACAGGACAAGGGGCAATGGCTTTAAACTGAAAGAAGGTGGATTTCGATTAGATAGAAGGAAGACATTTTTTACATTGAGGGTGGTGAGGCAGTGGAACAGGTTGCCCAGAGAAGTTGCAGATGCCCCATCCCTGGAAGTGTTCAAGGCCAGGTTGGATGAGGCTTTGGGCAACCTGGTGTAGTGGAGGATTTCTCTGCCCATGGCAGGGGGATTGGAACTAGATGATCTTTAAGGTCCCTTCCAACCCTAACCATTCTATGATTCCTCATTTTTTGATGATGAAGAGAAAAAGCTGAAGACAAACCTCGGTCAATGCCCAGAACTACAACTTAAGGGATTTTACAGCTTTTTACACCACAAATTTTCTGTAGATAGGAGTTCTGCTGAGGGATGGGTGAGAGGGAGATGCAGTTTGGGAGAGAGGTCAACATCCTGGACCAGTCTGTTTGGCTCTGAATTACCGAACTCAGGCTGACGTTGCCAACAGCTACTGCTGTAACAGAGGGCAGTCAGTGGAAAAGGTGGCAGGCTGCACTGCATTCCTGTTTTCTTTCCTCCTCCTTTCATGTCTCTTGTGGCCTATCTTTATATTCTCTTTCCTATTCCAGTAGTTGCTGCAAAAGCGACGTGTTTCTTGATTGTACTAGTTTCTTTACGCTCAGGTTGTAAGGAAGTCTGTGGTGCCTGCTGCCGTCTTCACCCAGATCCTCGACGGCTGTGCATGGAGCTTGGGAGCCTGTTGAGATGTGCCAGCTGGTTGTTGTCACCCTGCTGGCCCTTGCAAGTGTAACACAGCACGTTGGCAAACGAGGCTGAGGGAAGGCTGCCAAAGCAGGAAGATCAACTGGAAATCAAGAAAGTGTCTGGCAAACATTTTTCTCCCTTAGGTTTCCTGAAATGCAGAGACTTTGCTTACAGAACGCTCCTCTGAGCTCTCAGTGTAAATCCTTCAAATTGCCAAAAGTGATGACGCTGCGCAGCGAGTGCTGTGTTAAGTACAAACCGCTGACAAGCAGGTGGAAGCACCTTCTTCCCCACCCCCTCAAGTAAAGAAAGTACCAATCGGTTCTGCTGGAAATAAACCATTGAACTTAAGATGTTAAAAAAGCCCCAAACTTTTGTCCTCCTGAATAGTTTTCTTTTGTAGGAAGAGATAGTTTGTTGGAAAAGGTTAGATAAAGGATTTGGAAAGGGAGAATTCAGTAAACTCCAAAGAAGGATGGTTTAACTCAGTGAGACACTAGGACATTTATTTAATTTAATGACTAGTAAGCACACTACATGGGTGCCAGCCAGCTCCAAACTCAGACCTCGTTTAACGAGACAGCAAGCGCTAGCAGAGTCTATGTATTTCCCGATAATTTTTCAAGCATGTAAGTGACATTAAGCAGTCATGAACTGGCATGGAATCAAACCTCTTCTGGGAAGTCAACTGCCGCCTGTGCAAGGCTGCGCTGGTGAGGCAGTGCCGCTGACAAGTGAGGCAGAGAGGGAAGCGGCTGCTCTGTGCCACCAAGGACTCCCCACTCTTGAAAAAAAGCTGTCTTCTACCAAACTTTGCCAAACTCAGTGATCGATGCTATGGAATCAAAAGCGAAAAATGTCATTTTGAGCCAGATTTCTTTTCTGTGTTACACAAACAAAGCAGAACATACTTAAAAAAATTTAGTTCAGCATGTTTCCAAGGGAATCCGAACCGGTCTGAGTTGCAAGCTGGAGAAATACTTGGCTGAAGTCAGCGGAGTAAAGTTCACCTCAGCCTCAAGTTCTGTGCAAGCCTGTAGTGGCAGGTTCCCAGCCCTGGGTGATATTCATGCCAGTTTACCTTTGCAGCTCTTGTGGTTTGTTCCTTTCAGTCAGGCTTTGATTTTCTTCTTTGCTACTGCATGAAAACTCGGCATGTACGGCTGCCCATACAGGCAGCGTTGTTGGTAACGTGAAAACGAGCAGCAAAGCCTCTACCTTTCCTCACCGTCATTTAAAACGCTGCTTGGCAATAACAAAACAGGAGTGGTGGCAACTTTTCCAGGAAGAAAAGGTGGCAGCAGTAAGAGGAGAGCTCGCTGGTACATACGCACTGTTTCCTTGATAGGGCAGCCAGCGCTCCGCTACCGCTTCCCATGCGGCAGGCACGGAAATCTGCAAGCTGCTGCTACTGCTGCGTTTCAGATAAGTCATTTGCGATGAACATTGTGGGTTACTTTAGAGCTGTGACTCCCAGGAGCGATTGTCACCTTGAAGAGTGGCTTCCAGCTGAGCTCGGACACCTCAGCAAGGTGAGAAGGAGAGGAGGAGAGGAGTGAACCCGTGGTTGAAGAGCAGCAAGTCTGTCTGTGGTCTGTACAATCCATCCGTGGAAAACATCTAAACTGTGTCTTCATCTCTAGGGCGAACTCTGAGCGGTCCCTGCATGGGAGGAGGGGTAAAGGGAGGAAGTCTCTGCTCTAGAGAGAGTGCTGGGTGCTGCGCAAAAGAGGGTGTCTGTACAAGAGTTTTGCTGTCACCTTGCTGTAAGCTGGTGCACCTACTGAAGACTGGCCAGGCGGCGTGGTGCTCCCTGGGCACTAGCAAGCAAGGGAGAAGCAGAGGCTGGGCGGTGGTGTGAGCACGCTGCCGCCTTTGCCAGAGCGGAGGCTCGGCTTCTGGCTCGGGCTTGGCGGCAGGAGGTGGTGACGGTTTCTCATCGAGCGTGATTTCTATCACTGCCCCGGACCGCTTGCGGGGTTCGGGGGTCTCCTCTGACCACCTCCCCACCCTGCGCACCCCTTTGGCCACTTTCGGTGCCTTCCTGCCGG